AGTCTATGCAGAATTTTTCCCAGATAAAATCTCAGGTAACTTGTCAGAGGCCTTCAGTTCCATAAACCGATTCTTGTAGAATTTAAGAGACTTACATGAAGCAAGTATTTATTAATTCAACCAACTTCTACTTAATGACATTTTAAGAGTCTAAATGTTTCAAGAAAAAAATATTGAGCTCAGGGAAGCTTAGTGAAAAAGGTTTGTTTTGAATGTGCCCTTGATAAATGCAATATAATGTGAGGTTATTTGAGAAACATCAATCATGTTTTACAAATCTGTAATAAATACAGCTATAATTATAGATCCTGGAAAATAATTCAGCTGTCACGTTTACCTTGTCAAAGTAAATAACACTGTCAATTTAGTTGATGTGCATGACCTGAGTAAACATTTCAAAGCATAAATGTTGTATTCACGCTCCTTCATTTTAAACAACTGCTCAACTGAATGTGCTTCTTTTACAATTCAGTACATTTGCTATCACTCAAATAAAATGAAAACTGTATACCAATAATCCTTCTGAATCAATTGGAAACTGCAAAATAACTTACTAGCTATAAGCTTTATTATTGCCTTAAATCAGCAGGTTTTAAGCTTAAATAAATTATAATGGTGGTTTTCAAAGAGAATTTTTACTATGCCTTAACTTGCTCTGAGGCTTATAAATTCATAGAGGATAAGTCCACAAATCAATAGGTTGATCAGCTAAAAACCATTCAATTAGAATGACAAGCCTTTCAGTCTATCATGGCTGTAAGTCATGATAAGTCCAGAAGCAGCATGCTTCTCTAGTTAAGAATAATATAAAGAAGTGGGAGATAGATATTTTCTTGATTCTGAGTTTTCAAAAGATATCTGGCCAGCTACTGGGAGAAGTACGATACAGAATTAGCTGGATCTAGATCTCCTAAAACTCCAAAGCCTCTCCAGAATAGTTCAGTTTTTAATAACACTTACAAAAAACTAGCTGCGTAAGGGCTGATCATATTTCCAGAAGAGGCTGTTCTGTAATGCAGATGTACCAATTGAAAAGTATTTATGGTTCTCTATTTTCATTAACTGATCCTAGGATATATGAAGCAGGTACAAGACAATACTACCACAAAGAGCCTTTATAGGCTAAAATATTAATTTCACTTGGAAACATATAAGAAGTCTATGGTGAACTTGGAACATACATCATGTGTAGGCCAATCAATCCTTTGGTTGCCATATCCTGAATCAATCGTCATCTTTAAAGGCTATCAAATATAGAGGTAATCCTTAGTTTATGATACATCACTTAACAACCATTCAGAGTAATCAAAAGTGATTTATGACCTGTTGCAACCCCCTCCAGTCACATGACTGCATTTTAGAAAGCAGCTCCCATATACAACTGCTTGCGGTATCTTGTGATCACAAGATTGATATTTGTGACATTTTCTGCTGGTTTCTAGCTCCAAAAATTCCTATTTGGATTTCTACTCACCACCACAAGATTTGCTTAACTGCACTGTAAATGTGGTCATAAAATCAGGTTCAGTCACGTGAGTTCCTCAATTTATGACTGCCATGAATTATTATTGAAATTCTGGTCCCAATTGCAGTTGTAAGTGGAGGACTACTTTTAAAGTACATTGTAAGACTCTAGATAAGTGATGATGAGAGAATGCTTTTAGAAATGTTCTAAAGTAACATAATCTTGAAAGTACAAATGATACATTAGAAAATTGTAGTTTTCCCTCAAACTCATCTATCCACTATCACTATTCACTAATGCACAATGTGCAACTACCTTAGCTTCCTATTTTAATGTGAATTAACTTAAATGACCCAGATTCATTTTTTCTGACAAACATTTTAGCCTTTTTGTTGATAATTAAATATATACTTTCACTTCCCTTCATGTATGAATCATTTCCACCTCATAGATCAGAACACTTTGATTTCATATTTTTTCCATCCTTTTCCTTTTTCTTGGTTTCACAGGTGCATAACAAATATTTTTGCTTTCTTTTATTTCCTTTGATCATTCATATGCTTTTTCAAATATTCCTCTTACATTCTAAGTCACAATCTTGCATATGCATGTATTGTGGTCATCAGATGGACTCTAGATATAGAGCTCTGCTTTCCATCATGATTTTGGTCAATTGAGACTTTCACATAAAATTATTTTAATATGATATAGAAGGTATAACAGTAGCTGTGTCAAATGCAGCATTTTTTGCCAATAATAAGGACAACACCAGCCACTTTTGTCACATTTTGGCTGATACCATACAAAAAAAATGCTCATGTCAAGTTTTATTCCAAACACGTCAACTACTATATGCAAGGTAGGCTCTCGAATCCAGAGACGACTTACAAGTCAACTTCCAACTGCCTGCATTCCAGCAATGATACACACTCAAAATGCAAATCATTGTACATCATTTTAGAGCAAGACAAATATATAAATCCAAGATGCCCAGTGTAACAATTTGTGTCAATTTATATATCAAAAAAGACTGATCAATCGAATGCTAAGAAGAACAAATTTGAATGAAATTATTTGATCCATATCCCTCTTTAGTTGGCAGTTACATAAAACAAATACAGGAGGTACTATACTGGATAAAAATTATAGGCAAATTCCCTAAAACCTTTGCCTATGACTTCATTGCATGGGATATTAAAGATGATATTCCTCATTATTTGTTCATCATGCCTCTTTAGCAGCCACTATTAAATATTTCGCTCCAATATCAAAAAGGGAAATGGGCTTGACCAACCCCCTAGAAAATGTGTTTCCTAAGAATAGGATGACCTTTGCAGCTGTGACAGTCTTTATTTGAGCAGCTGTTCAAAGCCATGTCAACTTTTTGATTCATGTAAGTAATGAGGGTTATATTTTGCAGATTTGTTTACTTCAGAAATTTTGTGATCCTTTTGCCATGTTTATTATAGGCTTTTTTATTCTCTCCTACATGGTTTATTTATACAAACTATGTTTGAGGTCTTATTTGTTATTTTTAATGTGTATTTTAAGTCAGTGATTTTTGCACTGTATGAGGCTATGACCTGTGGTTATAATAGTAAAAAAATACTATCAAAAGTAATATTGAAATACACTGATAAATAGCAATCATTTGCCTAAACCATTTTTATTAATTTCAATGATTTCTAGCAAAATTTAAACTTTACTTTGCAAACATAGTAATTCAAAATGAATATGTTAATACTGGAATTATTTCTAGTAAACAGGAAAACAGGTAGTTTTCTGTTACAATGGAATTTAATTTCCCTGTAAATGTAAATTATTAAAGAGTAAAACTGGTGTTACAAAATAATCATGTTTGACAAGAAAAACAATAAGAAACTACATTTTGTATATAAAACAATAAAAATATCCTGACACCTCTATCTTGCAATCCTAAATATGGAGCATCAAAAGGAATTTTTAGTCACAGAATACTTGTATTACACAAACCCAAATTATATTATTTCAGAAAGTTGATACATTTGCATAAGCTGTACTCTTGAAATTAAACAGTGCTGGGCTTAATAGAAACCTCTTATCCTCAGCAAACTGAATAGAGAATCAGATTCCATTCTATCTAGCTGCAAAAAGTAAATATGTCCTATGGATTTTATTTAAATAATCCACAACACTAAAGTCTACGTTTCCCATTTTTAATGTTCAATTTATTACTTTAAATAATTAAAACTTAAATTAAATAAAATACTATCAAACTGTTAAATCTTTACATCTCTGTAGAAACTGTGACATTTGAACAGCTGTCATAACCACTAGTACTTTGCAAAGATTTTGCAGGAAGCTCCTTTTCCCAAAGGATGTCATTCTCCATTTATTTCAAAATAGAAAGACACTTTATACATAGAAAAAGATACATTTCCAGAAGTAATTTATGGGAAAGCCTGCAGGTTCAGGTGCAACATCTATATGTGAGCTTTGGTTAGGAGCAACTGAATTAATTTCTTTTTTTAAGAAGTGATCTTTTGCAGATCCCATAAGCATTCAGAAAAAGACTAAAGAAATACATTCATTACTAAGCTTTGGGCCAACATAAACCCATAAAATTGGATTTACCAAGCTTCTGCTCTGTATTTTAATTACAATTATGACTGGGAAGAAGTATCTTTTAACAGGAAAGGAAACAGCCTATCTATAACAGACCAGATTATTATGTCATCGATTGCAACATAAACCACTGATTTAGTCATAGAAGGGAACATGGATGACTCACATCAGTTCCACAAACCAATTGCTTGCAGGTGGCTAATTCCAATGTAAATGTTTATGTTTATCTGTCATTTCAACACTACCTCCTCAATGAAATTTCAGCTTCTGAAATCCAACTGCTCTTCCAATTTCCAAAACATGAGGCAGAAGAACTGCTGTCAATATGCAGTCAATATTTGGATTCAGTTTCAGTTAAGACTCTCATGTGCAGTATTGAATATATCCCAATATGACATTCTATGCAACTTTTTGACAAAAATGATGTAAAAATGAAATTCTATGTAAATCTGCTACACTTTAGTTATTTATTTGCTTGTTTGTTTCATTCAGATGCTGCCCAACTCCAAACTGACTCTAAGCAGTTCATAGGATAAAACAATATAAAACTGAAATGTACATAAAACACTAAGCAGATGATAAATCCAGTCAACACATAAAACAGACATTATATCACCCAGTGGAAGCTCCAGCCAGCCTATCGAAAGCCTAAAAAACAGTCTTCTAGAGGGCCATCCTGGTGAGAATCATCCAGATTCTAGGGGAAACCTGTGGCAGTGGTAGACACTGTGACCGAGAAAATACACTTCTTTGGCTCTAAATAATTTTAATCAATAAATAATTTTAATTTGAATCAATGATGGGGTTCTGTTTGTAAAATATTATCTTTCCAGAAAGGGAAAACAGATCCATTTTCCATGCAGCAAATAATAAATTTCAGAAATGCTCTAATCTCAAGTAAAATATAAAGCTAATTACATACTTGACTTACCTTTTCCTTAATGTTGATTCACCAACTTTAACCACCCTGATTACTTCTTTAACAGTGCGCCGAAAATCATGCATTCTTGCGGCAACAAGAAGAGCTAGAACATAAAAGCAGAATCACATCAAAAAAGCACCTGGGATGAAGCAAAGGACTACATTAAATTATATTGGTGGCATTGAAAATTCTATTTCTCATATTAATTTTAAAAAACTGATGGATTGCAGAAAGATTAAACTGGAATTTTATGAAATTTACTTTGCATGCAGAAATATTACATCAACCCAAACAAATTTTGGAAAATGCAGAATGGCATAATAATCAACCTCAACAATTATTTCACCTAGATAGACCACCTCCTTGCAGACGTACACATATATTCATGCACACACCATTAGGAGAAAATATCCCAATACCACAATAGTACATGCATTTGTACTTACTGTACATATATTCCATTTTTACCATGCAGTATTTACACAATAAAATTATCTAATAAAAAGTAATCGCATAACATCATTCAGTGCTTTCAGTATTTCAGTTCAAGGTTTAGAGCTCCCTAACAGTGATTTTACACTAAGTTCTTAATGTATATTTTCCACAACACAGAAAAGATCCATAGTAGTGCAGTGGTTAGAATGCAGTATTGCAGGCTAACTCTGCATTCCACTAGCAGCAGTTTGATTCTGACTGGCTCAAAGTTGACTCAGCCTTCCATCCTTCCAAGGTCAGTAAAATGAGAACCCAGATTGTTGGGGGTACAGTGCTGACTCTGTAAACTGCCTAGAGAGGGCTGTAAAGCACTGTGAAGCAGTATATCAGTCTACACCCTCTTGCTATTTCTAGATCCCAACAATTCTATTCAACTTCCACTAGGTGCAGGAAGAAAGATTAAAATAGTAATTGGTGGCTACCAACTAAAACATTTTTCTTGGGAAGAAATAAAAGGAAAAGAAATGGCTACACATCCTTTCTAATTCAAACCATTAATAGTTTAACTAAATACTGTGTTCTACACTTGAAAAGTTCAGAAGCCTAAATATATTATTTATTTAACATACTATTTTAAAGTAGTTTTATCTCCCCCTTTCTTGGCAGGTTCAGTTAGTCCTTGACTTATTACCAAATTTGGGACTGAAATTGCCAAATCAGCACGGTTGTATCATGTGTCTTAGGACAGCAATTGTAGCACTCACAGACTTATGGATCATTAAGGGAGTACCCAACCTAATCTGAATCATTCTGGACTTGGTCCCTCTCAGCCCCAAGCCTCAAAAGGGAAGGACTGACTCAAAATCTCCCCCTATATCTGGTCTTTGGCCACCCTGTACCCTACCTTTCAAGACAGCAAGCAGCCCCAAATTTGCATGGCTCTGGGACTATTACCATGACCCAGGAAGCAGCAGTCACACTGTTCTCACCATTCTGCACTTCAACACCCCAGCTTATCTTCCCCATCTTCTTATTGTCACTGCTGACAAGCGAGGCATGCCTTCCTTGTCCCACAGGCGGAAAAAGCAAGCCAGCAAAAGAAAGCCCCTTCGTGCGCAGTTGACAAAAACAAGCCCATTTGCACTATACTGCTAGGTTGGGTTGGGTTGGGGTGAGTTTCTTGGCGTGCTGAAGATCTATAGCTGTTTCTTGCTTGCTTCGGCTTCTTGTGGTATATCAGAAAGCCCAGCACAGCAGCATGGCACGTTGCTTTCACAGGCTTTATGCAGAAGGGTTTGCTTTTACCAGATTGCTTTTGCTGGTATCGTAGTGGGGCTTGTGGGCATGAAAGACCTCATCAGCAGTGGGAAATGCCTCATCAGCAGTGGGAGCAAGAAAGAGCAAGGATAAGCTGGGGTGTCAGAGCACAGAAAAGCAGGGGGCCAAAAAGGTACAAATGGGGAGAGGGATGAGAGATAGGCAGGGGGGAGAAGTTGCAACACCCCTGTGGTCCAAAATGCAGTCTGGCTGCCTCATATCCAAATTTTGATCATGTGACTGTGAGGGGGAGTGTTGCAAGAGCTGTAACTTCAGGCACAGGCCTTAGTTCCATTTTTTTTAGCACGGTTATAACTTCAAGCAGTTTATGAGCGAACGGTCGTAAGTGTGGGCTACCTGTAGTGGCTTACTTAATATCTGTGTCAAACAAGACAGGGCCAAGACTCACAAACTTATAATCAAAAGAAATAAGAGGTAGAGAAGAAAGAAGAGCCAAAGTAGAATCAGGGATAGGTTCTTAAAGTGGTCTGTTGTGGTAATCAATTTGAAGGAGAAAAGTCTGATACAACAAGTCTCTCAACAGTTCTGCCTGAGTTGTCCAACAGGTCCAGTCTTTCTCTCCGCTGTAGCAGGATGTCATGTGCAAAATAACAGAAAAATGGAAGTGTAGCACAATCCTTCTTCTACTTATATCTTCTGTGTTCCAAATGCCCTCTGTAATTCACTTTTCCCTTTTTTGATTCAAGCATACTTGCCTCTCAAGGACATCAGAGAAAGCAAAAACAGCTCTTGCAATTTACCAATTGAATTCTCTTCCCAAAGTAATTTTCCCATAGGAAAATCTGTCTTAGGGTTTTGTCCCATGGATTTGCCTGTAGTATATACTTTGGTTCTAAAAGTTCTGATATATAGCCCATGAAAGTACTGTAGCTTGACCTACTTGCCCTCATCATGGCAAACTGGGCAGCAAACAAATTTAATAAATAAAGATAAAATAAAACCCTCTTTTGCACAGTCTTAATATATTTATACCAAAATATTGCTAAATTCGGTTAAACCATAAGATTTAGGTTCAGCATAACACACTGTTTTCATGTTCTTTTATACAACTTTTATACAATGCCTTATAGATAATCTACACTTTCTACTTGTGGAATAGTATGACCTCTGTGATATTCCAGTTTGTGGCCAAGGTTAGATTAATTCCTAAAGTTCTTATCTAACTTGATTCATCTTGACATTAAATTTGTATGTACAGATTCACCTAAAAGCATGACTTTTTAAGGGTGAACATATGCAACTGCTTCTTAGAAAATTAAATATACATAACACATTTCTTTGTCACTAGCTGTTGGCACTCTACACACGCCAATGAACGGGTTTTGCAATACCTGCACCACAAAGCCCTGATGGCCGTCGACCTGTGTGCATCCAGTCTCTCTTCATCTGCTGCAGGAGTCTTAAAGCTGTCATGGAGACTTCATGGTTCTTATCACCAAACTCGAGCATGTGTGCAAAACGAGGAATATATAAACACGGATCTGCCCAAAGCAAGATGAAAAAAGTTATTACCAACCATAACTTTTCCTCTTCTATACAGAGCCTTCTCAGATTTCTAACTCGACTTACAGAAAACACTTCACTGTCCTATTGTCTCTCCAGCTGTAGACAGGAGATTGTGTTTACTATTAGGAACAAACAGAATTGTTGTGCTTGTGGAAGCTCTTTGTTCTGGCAGAAATCTCTATTAATGTTTTGCTGATTATTTCTTCCTCTGGAACTCTCAGCACCATTTTTCCCATGGCTGCAATCAGATATACAAGGACTACTAGGAGAATGGGCATTATTCAAAATTCACCACCCCTTTCATTAGGACATGCCTGACAACAAACGGCTTTCAGTGAACTGAAAGATACCAAATGTCACATGAGACACACACACATACAGCAAGCTCTCTTTTTAAAAAAATGAACTGTAGAAGGTGAGATGTTTCGCATGTTTAATTTCTACTTCAGTAGAAATAAATACAAATGCTGCATTGCTGTTAGTCAAGTCAATTCTGGATGTTCTTGCAACACAGAACAGCAATAGAGCAATTAGTACTAGCTTGAAAAAGGGCTGCATATTTAAAATTTGAAAACCAAGTAGAATACATTGTGACACATGATTAAAAGAACACCTATCAAACTTGAGATATTGAAATATATATTTCTACATAAACTACAAAGTACAGAATAAATGCTGTAGGTTCAATCAATCAGTGTTGATAGCCCTTTAAGGGTAATCCCTATAATTATTACTTGACTTTATATTTCCAAATCCAAGATCTGTCATAGATCAATGCAACAACTGGTGCAATAAATAATATGTACAATTATGCACACTTATCAACATCATTCCTGGTCCAAATGTATTGAGACCAAAACTCACTATACCTACAGAACTATGCTGTAAAATTATGATGGCATGAAAAATTGGGAATTGTAATCCCACACCAGCCTGGGAAGTACCTGGATGAGGAGACTAATACTAATGATTAATATCCTCATCCAGGAGTATGACAAGCAAGAGGAAAATCACCCTATGTGCAATCTAATATTACTTGAGACGTCATTGAAGATATCCCATTAGTTAAAAATTCCACATTAATAGATGAAATTATTTTGCTTCTATAAAAATACAGTATTAAATTTCTCATCTCCAAGGCTATTATAGATAGATGAAAGTTTCAGCCTGCTCCAATTATTAACACACAGACTAATTCTGCTTTCATATCTCCCTCTTTACTGAAGATTAATTTAAAGTCATCAACAGAACTAAGCCAAAAGAATAACTTCCAAAAATCAACCTAAGCTTTCATTAAAAAGTCAAATTGGTTGAGAGTTCTATACTAAAAAGTATATCTTTTATGCCATGAAATTAACACCATTGGTGACAACTGATTTCTAGTCTTTGAAACCAGAAATATTTGAAGACAATTTTAAATGCAATGGATTATTTCTCTCAAAGATACAGCTTTATGTGGTGTATTACTCCATTTGGATTATGTGGATTAATGTCTTCTGAATGATTTGCAGGTACAGTGTAATCAACGTCTACCTAGATTATATAGCTGCTAAGTGCTACTTGTAATTTAAAGGATTTTATGCTACATTGCTATGCAGTGAACAGCATGGCTCCAATCTATAATTATTCCTCAATATTACAGAAAAAGAAAACAAGATTTTAAGTTCGTTACTCTTATAACAAATAATGATTATTCCCCATCATAACCATTATATTCAATAACCAAGACATTAAAATATATGACAGAAGATAGAAGAAGCTATCAAGGTTACCAAAAGACAGCTTTGGCTATGATTATGAAATGACAGGAAACCATCAGTTTTCAATATCAAAGTGTCCTCTCATGTAGATGTCATATACTATTAGGGGAAGGGTGCTTGAGCTTAAGTTTCACATCATAAATAGCTAAAGCTATTATAATTTCACTTTGGAATTAAGCCATTTTACAATCCTAAAATAATGTATTCGAATCATAATGTTAACATGCCATCTAAAAATAATTTATACTGCCCACCTGCCAAAATAATGCAAGCTAACACACAATGGCTAAACTACAAACTGCCACTTAAGAGACAAAGTATGAAGCAGAATAGAAAATAAGTTATCAGTATTTTGCACATTAATTTCTCATTGCAAAGCAATCATCTGGTAACTGGGCATAGGGTATGGATAGGGCTAAAATAGCTGAGTTGCAAAAAAAATCAGTATGAGGTAATAGTGGAAGAAAGAGATATAGCAAAGTCCTTTTCAGTGGTCTCATTTGAGATGGTGATGAGTCTGGTTGAACCACTGGCCCTGTGGTGCAGCCAGAATAATCTGGAGCTGGAACACACTTAAAACTGTAGAGATGAAAGTGGATTTTAGGAGGACCCTCCTATTCTATCACTAATGCCTTCCAATGCTGGCTGGATAAAAAAGTTGAAGATGAATTTAATAAAACTCAAACAAAAGATCGAATAATAACAGCAGAAAAGTCAAATGAGAAGGATTGAAAACTGGATATCTTCTGGAACTGAACAATGGCTTTTGACTCAACTATTTGACTATCTTGCATCTAATTACCAGTATAACTAAATAGCATAATGAACTATTGCATAAAGAAGATATCAGCAACTGATTAATACCTGGCAAAACTTATCTGAGTTAGAAAAAAAAAAGGGAAAACATCAGGAAACTATAAACCAGTAACATGCTTGCCTATAATGTTTCAATTACTTACAGGAATAATAGCATACAGCTCCCAAGATTATTTGGAAGAAAATACCCTTCCACTAAAATACAAAGGAAATAAAAAGAAAAGCAGCAGGACAAAAGATCAACTGCTGGTTGAGAAAATAATTTGGGAGAATTGTGAAAACTGAAAAACAAATCTACATATGGTTTAGATTGATTATAAAAGGAGTTTGATTCATAACCGCATAGTTGTATCGTCAAATGTTTGGAAACAACTGGTGTCAGTAAAAACATCAGAACATTTAAAAAAACCTAATGTAATAATAGAAAACAGGTGGTTGGAAATGAAAAATATGGGCTTGTTAATATTAGGACAGGTATCTTCCAGGGAAACTCATTATCATCCTTCCAGGAATTTTGAAGAAAACAAATTTTGATTACTAAACAGCAAAGAATGCTAATAAAATACATGTTTGCTTTCTATGGATCTGGAGCTTTATGGAAAATGAGAAATTGAAATTCAGTCGTTGACAAACACTGTAATAGATCTGCTAAACTTCTAAAAATTATCTGTAAAAATCTATAAAAATTATCATGGGCCAGTAATAAAAACTGGATAAGAAGTAATTGAAAAGGAACAGGTTAAAATATTATAGGATTTCTCACTAAAAACTAATAAAAGTCTTGGCATTTAATATACCTGACTTAACTGTGGTTGAAAAGAAAGTTTGGATAATTAATGTAGCAATACGAGAACAGAATACAAAGAATTGGAGAAAACCACAAAATACCAAATTCTGAAAATCAAAGTTGAAAGATTATAGAGTGGTGGTTGCAGTGGTTATCAGTACTCTGGGTACCATACCAAAAAGCCTTGGACTACAAAACCTGTGCATTGACAAAAATTTCCATCTGTCAGTTACAAAAGGTCACACTCCTTGAATCTGTACAAATAATACTCAGATACATTATAACGTCCTATGTTTTTGCCAAGAATTTGATGTGAAGACCAACACCATAATAGTTGTTGCTGGGTATGTAACAATTACACATTCTACAGCTCAAAAGTTCTAGATAGACTATAGAGTCCTCAACTTACAACCATTCATTTAGTGACCATTTGAAATTATAACAGCACTGAAAAAGCTGATTTATGACTGGTTTTCATACTTACGACTGTTGCAGCCATTTGTAAATTTCCCAGCAAGCGAAGGGGGAAACCAAATTTGCTTAATGACCATGTGATTCACCTAACAACCATGGCAAAAAGGATTTCAAAATGGGAAAGAACTCACTTAACTTTTGCCTTGCTTACCAATATAAATTTTGGGTTGTAAATCAAGGATATATTTAATAGACTTAGACTTCTGTTAGTTACTAGGAAGTTAGTTACTTCTGTTAGTTACTTAGTTGTCTTCTGTTAGTTACTATTTGAAGCACATAATAAAATTAAAATATTTTTTGTCAGATTATGAGCTTTTAGGTTCATGTAGATAAACAATTTAATGTATTGAGCATTGCAGTATGATGTTGAGCAATTATCCAATTTTTTTAAAAAACATCCCACTGGCTCTTCTCAGTGCCACTTGAAGAAAGGTATGTCTTTTGGGAAACTAACTCAAATAAAATGACCAAGCTTTGTTCTACATCTTTGATGGCGAACCTGTGGCACATAGAGCCATTTGTATGGGCATGCGAGCTCCAGGCAAACTTACCTCACTGCACATATGTACACATCCCAGCTGATTTTGGGGCCTTTTTCGGCCTGCCACAGGCTTGAGGGATGCCTCTGCAGGCTTTGCAGGCCAAAAAATAGGCCTGTTTCATCACTTCCTATATTTCCAGAAATACCAGAAGTGACTAAATGGGCCCATTTTTCAGCCTGCAAAGCCTGCAGGGGCTCAAGCCTCTGGCAGGCCGAAAAAGGACTCAAACGGGCCAAAAATCAGCTGGAAGGCACAGTGTAAGTAAGGGGGTAAATTGCACACGCATGTGCAGGGGGCATGGGGGGCCTGCACACATTGCCTTTTGGGTGCTGGCACGTGAGACAGCGCATGCACAATTTTTGGCACAGGAGCCCAAAAAGGTTAGCCACCACTGTTCTATGTTCTCCAGTTTTTCACTGGAGATACAATTTCTCATTTTCTCTAATGTCAATTGTTAACTATTAAATTCAACCCCATGTCGTTAGCTGATGCCCTGTTCAGCAATTCCACAAATAAAGAAAGGGCTTTGTCTGAAATGGATTTATAATTAATGAAATTTAAATAATGACTGCTAAGCATCAACATTGTTATGTACTATTTTTTATTTTCATATGTTCAGAAAGACTGCATTTGCATGATCACCTACATAACATGCAATTTTTCAGAAAACCAGAGGCAGTACATTTTTTAAAAAAAAAAACCTAAATAATTATAAACTAGGAGAGTTGCACACATTAATATTTTTAGAGGAAATTAAAATATACTACTAAATCAAATGCTACGTAAGTTAACCTTTTTAAGAAAAAGTTAGCATTCGAATTAAAAACAAATCCTGTACATTTTTGGCATAATATGTGTGTTAATTAGCAAGCCAAATGGCAGAAGCTTGTCTCTGAGAGAAGATCCTGTTGCTCCATTTATATGTCTTAGCTGCGAGGGAATCTGGGTGAAGAGGAAGGTAAACATTCTTACAAAGAGAGTGTCAGAGACAGAGATATACAAAGGACTGTTATGTAACACTAAGGCCCCTGTTCAGATACAAGTAATAGAGAGTTTCCAACTGCATAAATCTGGTACAGCAAATCCATGAGAGGGCTGATCCCTAGATCTTTAGAAACATGAGTTGGACTGTGCCTTCAAACTTGTTTTCATTCTTTATGCGTGAAGTGCCTTTCTTCATGCAAATGATGGGGAATTATTATTTCCTGCATTCTCTTGCATAGAATAACACTTCTTCCTCCTTGCTGAGCAAAACAACAATAAACGCTTCCTTCCTTTATGGAAAATACTAATCTGGGGACAGAACTATGCAGTGGGAGTTTTTCCTCTTTTACGACTCATCCATTTTTATAATTTTTCCTTCTGCAAGAAGGTCAGGGATAAACTGGTGATCTATAATGTAACAAGACAAGCAGTACAAGTTTTGTTGTTCGCCTTAATCCAGAAACATACAAATGGTAGGCTACAATACGTGGCAGTTAGCTGACCTTGATAGAATTAAACGGGTTGGATGATTTAGTTCTTGGACGGGAGACCACCAGGATAGCAGCAAATCACTTAAGTACTTATTCATGTGAATTATTCTGGTGCCTCAGGTCAAACAGACTCTAGATGGTATTTTTGCTGGGAGAACAACATGTACATTTTGCACAATTATAGGGAATCAATGTCAATTACCGGGACTTCTTAAGAATAAAATCTACAGTAGGAAAATTACACCCATAACTGAATCTAATAAATGTTAATTTATTAATATATAACATTTGCATTCTGTATACATTCTGTATACGAATAAAAACAATAATTCAGTAGCATTTTTTTGTTTTCAGAGTGTGTACACATAAATTTTACAAACATTATCTTAGAAAATATTATCCTGGACAAATCTACCCAGCTTTCTGGAATAGTAATAATAGGAAATTTTAAGTATCCAGGCATCTATATATAAACTAACTGGGCCAGAACTACCTGGTTTCTCAGTCATTTTGTTGATAGTGTCATCTTTCAGAAGAATAAAAATATTGACTCTCTCAGAGCTGGTTCTAACCAATAAGAAAGCACGGGTTGATGAGATGAAAGCAATTACAGCTTTAGGAGGAAGTGATTATGTCAGATTGAAGTTCAAAGAGCTACAAAAAAATAAACACCTACATACACGTGCATTAGATTTGAAGAGAGCCATTTCAAGTCTTGGAGAAGCACTAATTAAGATTCTTTGGACAGAAATCCCGAGGCCAAAAGAAATGCAAGGGAATTTGGAATTTTTCAAATTAAGATACTGGGAGTATAGTCATACACCATTCCTGTCAGGAACAAGAGACAACCTATAAAGTACCTTTTGAACCAGTAAAAATGTTAGGATCCTGCACTTTTGTGAGGAGGGTGAATTTACTCAACGCAGGAGTGACTATCAGAAAATCTAGTCCACTCCCTTGTTAATTTCTCTCCTTAGAAGACTATGGAGCCCCTTTGTGCATCTATTAACTTGGTAACATTAAGATATGTGGACTTCAACATGGCTGCCTGGGGAATTCTAGGAGTCGATGTCCACACATCTTCATCTTGCCAAAGTTGAGAAACACTACTTTATATGATCTTTGCAAATTCATGGAGGACAGATGAAATGCCTAAGTATAGGAGAAGGGCAAATCTTGAACTGAAACCCAGTCAACTCAATGTCAGTAAGAGTGTATCCTGGAACAAATTATTCGCTGTAAAAAAAATTTTTTTTAAAATGCTTGTTGGGAGCCAGCTTTGTGAAGTTTCTTGCACCAAAGCTTCTACTACAACTAGTACAAAAAAAAATAATTGCAGCTTTAAAACGATAACATTTATTTTGGCTGCAACTTCCTGGACAGTTTTTTGTTTTTATTTCTTCTGGATAAGGTTTTAAGATCTTAGTTCACACACAAACACACACACCCCAAATATCAGTTTCCAAGCTGTTTCAAGACGTTAAGAACGAATTGAGACACGGGGCTCTCTCCGCATTCGAAGAATTTGGGCGAAAACTCTCCAGTTTTGGCCGACACCTTTGATAACTCCGCCTTGCTTTCAGGCCGATAAAGTTTGAAAAAAGCACTGGTTTGAGTTGATCCCCACCCCCCAAGCTTTTGCCCAAAGGGGAGGGAGTTCAAACGGAGCCAGCAGATGCCTGAAAAGGAGCATTGTGCGAGGGGACGGCCAGAAGGAACATGGGCGCCCTCGCTAGGCCGCACAGGAAAGGCTCCTTCCTCTGATTTAACTGCTGCGCTAAGCTGGGATCGGCGAGGCGCTGCCTCCAGCCTAACGTTTTCATAATCATGGCTTCTGACTCCACGGACAAGCCTGCAGTGCAAACTTTCCCGACTGGGCTCGGGCAAAGGGACGCCTGGTGAGAGCGCGACCGGGCATCTACTGGGGAATTGCTGGGAGGGGGTGTGCAACCGGGGAGGGGGGAAGAGATGCTATGATCGGCGCCGCAGCGGAGTTTTTGAACTGCAGGATGGCTGACGCTCAACGCGGGCTGCCTCGAGCGATTCCTTAAAGACCTCTTCTCTTTCTCCACCCCCCCCCCCCCAAAAAAAAATCCCTATTTTGCAAACGGTTAAAGGCGCCCCTGGCTCAGTGGCATCGAAGCCGAAGCTAGGGCAGAATTCATACCGGCCGCGTTTATTGACGCCTACCCCGATCGCCTTGGGAGCCAGCAACCGCAAAGAGACAAGCTCAGGCGAGATCTCCCCGGGGTGGAAAGGAGGGGGGAAAGGAGGCATTTCCCAAGCAACCGAAAGAGGGGGAGTTGTAGGAATGAACCGGCACGCCAATTTAAAACAATAAATAACAATAAAACTTTCCTTCTCGAAGGAATAGTGACCCTTTCTAAATGGATTTACTTCTGGAAGAGTTTCTGCCACTCCTTTTGGGAAAGGGCGGTTGTAGAAGGCAGGGCGGGAAGGAAGGTTTTTACGTTTGGCCGTCACTCCCCAACTGCTCAAGCCGCAGCAGCTTCCCCCACCCCTCTTTTGCTCGCGCGTGCATTTATCTCCCCTCCATCCAACGGTGAGTGAATTTGGGTTTCCTGTAAATTTCCCAAATGGAGGAGGGGACTGGATTGATGGGAGAGGAGAGCACGAGGGGGGGGAGGGCGTGTGGGCGGTTTCGAGAGAGCGAGCGAAGAATGACATATTGTCTAGCGAGAGAGGCCGGCCCTCCCCTCTGGTGCCCTTTCGCCATTGGAGCAGCCGCCGATGACGCGCAGCGCCTCTGCTGACTATTTGAGGTGGCAGCGGCCGCGGCGGCGGCGGTTGCAGCAGCAACAACATCGGGAAAGAGGTGGTGGTCTAACAACAGTGGGGAGACGAGGAGGAAGCACGCACACGCGGACGGCCACGGGCGCCCGGTCCTGCAAAGCTGCGGCTCCTGCCGAGACTTTCGAAGTAGGGGAGGAAGGAGCTTCGCTAGGAGGCGAGGGAAACAAACAAAAAACAAGAAAAAAAGCAGCATCTCCAGCCCGGCGCTGGGGAGCAACCAGGATCCCGGACTCCCGCGTGAGAGGAGGATGCTTCCCTCTTCTGCAGCTTGGCCTGGCGAGTCTCACTTTTAAAAGCGAAAAAGGGGACGGGAAGGGACAAGGAAAACGTCCGCCCTCTCCTTCGTGCCCCTCGGCCTCTGGGATTTTATCGCTCAGGAGACGGAGGACTTGCAACCTGAATTGTGGAATAATATTAAGTAACCACAAGCGGAGATCTACAGTTGCTTCGCGGATGCTCGCCCTTCGCCCGGGAAACGGCCGAAAGCCGGGTTTCCCGCTTTCGCGTGTCCTCCAGCCTCACCAAGATCCTTGGCAGAAGTTTGCATTGCCCCGGGGTCAAAGGGCTGCTCTCGCCTCTTAAAGGGAAATCGGGATCGTGACAGCTCCCAGGACTTTACGGAGCGGGATCCGGGCAAGTCCTGCCCCGGCGGCTTAAGCTTCGGAGAGCCTTGCACCATCCCCAGCGTCCTTCCCTCCCCGCCGCCAGGTGAGCGATGAGTCATTAAAGCATCATCGCTGCGCCACCAGCCGGAACACAAAAGATGCTTTAGGCACCAACCCTTCGAACGAGGCGCTGTAGTTTGTTTTTGCTGCCCTTCAAAGGGGGTTTGTTTTGAATTCTCTCGAAGCGAGAGTGCGCTCGGCTGCTGATGGCCGCGGAGGGGGATCCCTCCCGCTGATGCCCCTGGACCATGGTTGCTTCCATGGACGGATCATGAAGTGTTTGACTTTCTTTCTTCTGCTTCCAGAGACCTTAAAGAAGTCCAAAAAGAGCGTCCGGGCCAACGGCAAAGGGGCAGCATGCTATGAGATATTGCCCCTGGGCCTCAAAAAGAAGATGGCTGCGGAACTTTACCCTGCCAGCGCCAATACCAATCTCGCAAACAGCAATAACGCCGCCGCCAACACCAAGAAAAACGCCCTTCAGTTCCAGCAGAGCGCGCAGCCCCCGCCGCCGCCGCCGCAAAACCTCAACAACAACAACGTGGAGAGCGCTAACTGGCAGTCCTTCCACCCCACCCTGCGAGAGAGGTAAGCCCCGCTCGGGCAAGCAGCCCAGAGGAGGAAACGCGTTGTGAGGCTGAGGCGGCGGCGGCGGCAGGAGCCAGAGGAAGGGAGGGCAACTTAAAGGCAGAGATTGGGAGCGAAAAGAGACTCGGAGCGAAAAGCTTCGGCACTTGCTGCAAGAACCTGGGCGTGAACTTTGTGCTGGCTTTCTGAAAGGGCCAGTCCTTTCCATTGCAATAACAGGCAATGGGATTCACCTGCCTGGTATAACCAAGGGATTACCTCTTGTGCTCGTGGGGAGTTTGAAGGGTTTCCAGAAATGGGGGGGGGGGTTGATCCTGTCTTGCTCAGCAAATGGGAACTGATCTTGCCTAGGCTCAGAAGCTAAGCAAGGATAACCTCATTTCTATTTGGATATGAGACCCTTCAGGGAATACCAGGGCTATAGACGATCTAGGAAGCCCAAAACATCTTGGAAGGCCTCTCCGTTAAACTCTTTCTGTGGGGCTACCAAGAAAACTGCACGGTGCCCACGAAATCAAGAAAGTCCGTTGAGCATTTTGAGCATTTTTCTTGGTGCTACTTGTCCTGTTCTGGTCACAAGCCAATGCAGAAAAGAGCTATTGCAGTCATGATTGAAACAGTTCCCCGCAAAAAGGAGGGAGAGCCTGAATTGATTGGGAGGGGAGAAGAGTATGGGATGGTGAGGGTAGAGGTATGGGGTTAATTATGGTTCCCTTTTGTAAATCTACAGAAACGCACTGATGTTCAACAGTGAACTTATGGCTGATGTGCATTTCATTGTGGGCCCAGTGGGGGCAGCAAAGAAAGTTCCTGCTCACAAGGTTGGTGGGATCTTTTCTATTTTTGCCATGTAGATGAACTGTACATTAAAAGATGCTTGTTCCCTTGTCCTCTTAACTCAGTGAGGACATTGTTGCACAAATGCAACAAAACAATTGCCTAGGAATATCAGCAGTTTAGCAATTAGGGTCTCGCTGGCTCAAGGTTGACTCAGCCTTCCACCTTTCTGAGGTGGGTAAAATGAGGACCCAGATTGTTGGGGGCAATATGCTGGCTCTGTAAACCACTTAGAGAGGGCTGTAAAAGCACTAAATCTGCAGTTTAAAGTCGCAGTAGTGAGAGGGGAGGAAAGGGATCCAAACTCTAATAATGGGTTTCCAAAAAATTGTGCTGGTATATTCTGATCTAAACCATTATAGCTAAGTGGAAGGAAAATTAATGTATTTGATTCTCTGCCTACCATTATCCCTGATTTTTAATTTTTAATTTTTAATGCAGTATGTATTGGCAGTGGGTAGTTCGGTCTTCTACGCAATGTTTTATGGAGATCTTGCAGAGGTCAAGTCTGAAATCCATATACCAGATGTAGAACCTGCTGCTTTCCTAATCTTATTAAAGTAAGTAGTAATTAAGACTAGTTACTAATTGCATGACTTTTTTAACCCAAAATTTAAGGAACATGAATGTAAAAGCTTAAAATCATCAAAAAAATGTTGAAAGCTGTAACTAAGAGTTGTGTATTTTTCTTTTTTAAAAAGGGAATCTTTTTATATTGATAGGTACATGTATAGTGATGAAATCGAGCTGGAAGCAGACACTGTGCTGGCTACTCTGTACGCGGCCAAGAAATACATTGTCCCTGCCTTAGCAAAAGCTTGCGTCAATTTTCTGGAGACTAGCTTAGAGGCCAAGAATGCTTGCGTTCTGCTGTCTCAGAGCAGGCTCTTTGAGGAACCAGAGCTGACACAACGCTGCTGGGAAGTCATTGATGCTCAAGCTGAAATGGCACTGAAATCGGAGGGCTTCTGTGAAATAGATCAACAGACGCTAGAAATCATTGTGATGCGGGAAGCACTAAACACCAAGGAGGTTGTGGTGTTTGAGGCAGTTCTGAACTGGGCTGAGGCTGAATGCAAGCGGCAAGGGCTGCCAATTACGCCAAGGAACAAGAGGAATGTATTAGGGAAAGCTTTATACTTGGTCCGGATTCCAACCATGACTTTGGAAGAGTTTGCCAATGGGGCTGCTCAGTCTGACATCCTGACCCTTGAGGAAAGACATAATATTTTCTTGTGGTATACTGCTGCAAATAAACCGAAGTTAGAATTTCCACTAACAAAGCGGAAAGGACTTGCACCTCAAAGGTGCCATCGATTTCAATCATCTGCATATCGCAGCAATCAATGGAGGTACCGGGGACGATGTGACAGTATCCAGTTTGCTGTAGATAAAAGGATATTTATAGCAGGATTGGGACTCTATGGGTCAAGTTCTGGAAAAGCTGAATACAGCGTCAAAATTGAACTGAAGAGGTTAGGCACTGTACTTGCCCAGAATCTGACAAAGTTTACATCCGATGGATCTAGTAATACTTTCTCAGTATGGTTTGAGCATCCTGTGCAGGTTGAGCAAGATACCTTTTACAATGTGAGTGCCATTCTAGATGGCAATGAGCTCAGCTATTTTGGACAAGAGGGGATGACTGAAGTACAGTGTGGAAAAGTGACATTCCAATTCCAGTGTTCCTCTGACAGCACCAATGGCACAGGAGTGCAAGGAGGACAAATACCTGAACTCATTTTTTACGCATGATGCATTTCACTTAGATTGTATTCCAGGGTTGTTCTGCATATTAATAGATACTCTGATCTGTCCGAAAGACTGCGGAGCAGATCAGAGTATTATAGTACTTAACTATTTACCATCAGGCTATGAAACTAAGTGAAGGAATGCTCTTGAATTTAATCTTATTTTATTTATTCATAAGCTATTTGACTTAATTATTAAACTGAACTGCAGTATGCAGAGAAAGAAATGTTTAAAAAATTGCACATGATGTGCATTTATTTTGTATATAGACCACTAACGGCTGAGACTGACTCAACTAGAATGTTATAAGGTAGAGCAGTTTGAGAACCTGTTGAATATAAAACATTTTTACTTGTCCTAAATCCTTATGTGCTTTGCTCATTATTGTTCCTCTGGTACTTGAACCACATCAATATATGCAGAAATAGTAACACTATTTTTTAAGATGAAACCTAAGGTGCTATAATTCCACATCTATTTCTGTAAGCAAAACCTCTTACGAAGACTGAAAACACATCTGAAACAAAGATTGTACTACAGAACAAACATTTATTTTTATATAGCATTAGTGGCAATGTTTGTCCCTAAAACATACTCAGTAAAATAAATATAATTTTCCAGGAGATGAATTTCTCGTGACAAACGTGTGCAAAGAAAAGATACACCTAAAATTTCAAAATTCTGTAACAGCTGCAGAATCTCTAGTATAATCAACAAAAGCCAGCTCACACTGGCTGTGTTCATAAATCATGATTAATCTACCCAGCACACACCAATCAAACTTTGTATCAATATAGCTGCCAGGCCCTTTTTTGACATATTTAACCATGTTGTGTGGAAAACTGCCTAAAAGTATTTCCAAAATCTCAGTCCTAGATTTGTTTACAGAATGGTAAGCTAATAACTATGGGCAGGCAGCTATTTCCACTCACAATTTTTTTTTCACTACTCGGTTCCATGTGTCCAAATTGATTCGTTACAGATCATGTAATGAAATGTTATAAGCACATTCACTTGATTTTCAACATCAGAATACTACAGGAATCTACTCTGAACACCATGGCATTTACTTCTGAGTAAGTAAATTAAGGATCAAGCTGTTTAATTTAGTCTTCATAATTTAATAATCCCCCAGGAGGAGACTCAGCAATCTGTATATGTAACTATGGTGACAGTCCAAGAGGCAACAACAGAGCCATCACAAAGTGTTATCCTGCAGCTACTGCATTCTACAAAAGGTTTACTTAGTGTCCTTTCTGCTCCTGTTCATCCAGCAATGGAGACTTATGTTCATCAAGCCACAGACACTTAACGACAATATATGAATTAGGGTAAGTCAGAAAGTAGTATCTGCCAAGATCTAAAAGAGCTTATGAGCTATGTAACCAAGGGGATTGAGGATTTGTTTTCCATGACACATTTCTGCTATAGGAGTAAACCTCACAAACATTTAACAGAAATAAGGATATATATCAGGAGTCCCCAAACTTAGCAACTTTTAAGACTTGTGGACTTTTAACGCCCAGAATTCTCCAGCAAACTGAATTCTGGTAGTTGGTCCACAAGTCTTAAAGTTGCCAAGTTTGGAGACCTCTGGTATATATAATTTCCAATATATTCCTCAGGTAATATCCTTTTTAATAAGCATCAATCTAAAGTTATGAGATAAAACCTTTTCAATCTCAATATTATGCTAAATTCATATATTAAAATGATATTAATATGATAATGTTTGTGATCCATCTCTGAAAATTTAAAATTCCTGATAGAGTTATAAGGTCCACTTACACAGCCATAGTCTTATTAAGTAGACTGAAAATGCATCTCTGAATAATATCCTAAATACATATGCTACTATGTGAATCCAACAACATAATCATCTAACCAACATGCACACAACAAGCTAATTTAGGGGAACATCTTGCATAGCTTGCCAGCACTGTTGCTAGGAACATTAGTCAAAACGTCCCTGGTTCAAATGTCTTCTCTACCATTACCGCTCCATATGGTCACAGACAAGCCACTTTCTCAGGATAATGGTCTGTTTTAAGATTACTCAGATAATATACACAAAGTGCTTTAGACACTCTAAAATGGTAAATTATTCAGGACGTCAGCAGTAAATTTTGGCATTTCCTAACATATCACACCACTTTCCCAGTATCTTCAGAAATGACTTAATGAAAGTGTTCCGTTCATTTCTGACATCCATGCTATAATGCTGTTACCACTGTTGATGCATCAAAGCTGTTAAGAACATTTTTATGGAGATTAATAACACACAGTAGACAATATGATACCAAGACAATGGTTGGCCATTTCTCTCTGTTTTCTGCAAAAGTAGCACAAGCACATTTCTTAAAATGTTCTTTGTGCAGTTAAACTCTTAACTATAGAGCTCTTTACCCAAAATTCAATTTTTTAAAAAATCATCTTTTTCAAAACAAATCATAATGACCTGGTCTGCATACAAGTCTAAGTTATAATGAATAGCTTAGAAAAGCTAACAGTATAGTATGTCTAAGCATTATGCATGAATCAGGTCACAGAATCAGTGGTATATATAACATCACTATTATAATTACTGTCTACAACTCATGATGTAGAAAGGATCATGTTTTGGATTTTGCAAAATTACAGAAGCAGTACTGCCCTTTTTTAAGGAGGCAGGCCTCAAATTCCTCTAAAGTAATTAAGCTCTTTATTATTCATTCACGTTTCCTTTTCTGCCTTTAATATTGTAAGTCCTCATCACATATAATCCTGGGAAATAATAAACTTTGTTTAAGCAGCTGTTGTCAAGTGCAATGCTCTATATTTGGGCTATGTTCCATGTTCATGCCTCTGCATGCTCTGAGTTCAAAGCACTTATTACCATCTTTATTTCTGTTGAATTAGTTCAAATGTATATTTTCTTACAGTTACTTCAAAAGATGGATATAACTGGAAGAAGTCACACTGATAATAGAAGTAACTGTTTTTCAGTTTTAAGGTAAACTCGGAGCTTACATAGACAGCTTTCATTTCTAAGATTCTTCCAGTCTTAATTCTGAACTATCATTAAATATTAGTTAAACAACCCATTTAAGTATTTTTTAAAAGCTGCCATGAAATGATGGCACAATGTAACTGCATATCAAAAGCCAACCCTTATTTAAAAATACCTATAGCTGGAGCATTTATGCAGAGCTCTCGGGCCAACAGAAGGAACGTTTTCCCCAGCACATAGACGTTCACCTGTATAAAGGGGAAAAATGATTCTTTGAATTAAGAAGCAGAAGAATACATCTGTCTTTAGATGAAACAGCCTGAAAATAATCATCTAATGTTTAAATAAGCATCAAAATGTTTTCAAATAAACCCCAAATTTCTCTGACACAGCCAATTACTTACCAAATTATTTAGCAGGGGAAAAAATCCATAATGGATTACACATAATTTTGACTTTGTGCTACCAGAGGGAAAAACAGATTATGTTTATATAAAGTAGTGTAACCAATTTTCCCTGATCTCATTGGCCAGCAGTTCCTTCTTTTGAAAAGCTTCTTCTAAATCTTAGAAGACCTTCCAAAACAAAATGGAAAACAGCACAGAATTCTGCAGTAATGAGAAATCATGAAAACTGTATCGGAGTAGTTTCTATGGGAGTAGTTTAAAGCCTCTCTACAGTACTAATGCAAAACTACAAAAACAGTTTTGTATTCTACAAAAACAGATGCTTTGTCATTTTCCAAGATTCTTCACATATGTAAACTTCTATATTCTTTTAATGCCCTTTATTTTTCCTACACATTTTTATTTAGGTTTACATACATATTTTAATCAGTTATGCAGCTGATTGATTGGGTACTAACTAATTTATAACACTAACTAATTTATAACAGTTATGGTTTACTGACGTAAACAACCAATCCCCAAACTGAAAGTTTAATTGGTTTAATATTATTGGTACTGAAGAAGCATGGCTCCTAATTGTAAGACAGCTGGTAAGTAAGATATGAAAAGTGTGTCTTGATTATTCTACTTCAGTGGTCCAAATTCCAGGCTGTCTCTTTGAAATATATGGGAGAAAGAGGCTACATCAATCCTGCAGATAAATATACAAAACTGCAACATAGCACTTGCATTATTCCAATATATGAAAGATAAATTTCTGAGATCAGGTGGAGGTGAAATTCCCTGTGTATTATAACCTAAACAAGAGCCATCCTGCCATAAGCTGCTGCTGTTCCTGCAGTTTCAAAAATCTCTTCACCACCCCACATGCAATGAAAGTAAAAATAAAAACAAGCAAATAAGCAGCCTTGCACTTTATCTTCAGAGCTGTCAAAGAGAAGTGCAAAGTAGATAAACGACTTCCCTGGGCTAAGGGAGGAGGTGTGAAATAGTCAACTAGTATTTCCCTTACAGTACCCAAACCTCATCATCTGCGATTCTCAATTTTATTTTCAGTTATTGGGACAATGAAATAATAATAATCAAACAACAGAAAGTGTAGAGAAAAGGTGTCAGTGTCATCCAGAAAAACTGGATGCTAACAACTTCCTCAAAACTCTTCCACAAGTTCAGAATTTCAAAGTCGGCTTTTTCAATACGTCTGTGGACAGCAGGCTATGAATCATCTCATTCAAGAATTCTTGGTAGAAGTAACTACATTCTCCATGCTTGTTAATCATTTGTTCTTTACTGTATGCAGAACTATGCAATACATAAAATTCTATAAATTTACTGAAGATAAATTTTACTGCAGATTTTTTTCAATCAAAACCCTACAGCTTTAACACTGTTGCCAGGTTGTAGTTTTGTTCTTTTCACTGAGCAGCTATAGAAAACTGATCAACAATCTATGTTTTGTTTGAGAAGTCAAACAGACATCTGAACCAAATGCTGTACTACTCTCTTATTAAACTTATGCTCATTCTTTTCCATTTAAAGAAAGGAGTGATGCATATATTAATTAATGGATCAGTTTGGTGCAGTGACTATGATGCTGGCCTAGAATTATTGCCCTAGAAATGAGGAGACCAGTGGTGGTATTCTACCGGTTCAGCTGAACTGGTAGCTACAACGATCATCTGTGGGCAATCCAGTTCACTCTGATGGGCCCTCTCATCCACCCAATCTCTATACTGACCTTTATTTCCTGCTTTTCAACTTCAGCTGCTTTGCGCGGTACAAACGATAGCCACGCATCAACTGTTGAAGACACAGGGAGAGTGCAGGATTGCAGGAGGTTAGTAGCAAACCGTCTGCAAGCACACATTTGGCATGTACGTACACAAAGTGCACCCACCAAGCCACGCCCATAGAAGAGGTGGTAAAAAAAAATTGAAACCCACCACTGGAGGAGACTATGAATTCTTGACTTTGACCAGCCTCTCTCTCTCTCTCTCTCTCTCTTATCCCAACCCACCTCACAGGGTTGTTGTTGTGGGAAAAAAGAGGAGGTGGAAGGAATATTAGATATTTTCAATGCCTTGATTACTTTATAAAGTAACTTATAAATAAAAACAAGCAAACAAACACTTCTATCATTCTCTACTCTCTACCTAGCCTTTATTGTGGCAAGTTAAAACAACAATCCTCTTAGTTGCTTCAGTGTTAAGCCAGCAGAATGGAAGCAGGAGTCTTCATGGCCAATTTAAAATAAATTACAAAGACAGAGGAAAAGAAAATAAACAGAAAAGGGAGATACAGGTGAAATGATTATCGGTTATTAGTCTCCAGTATCTGTAAAATACACTTTCAATTTAGGTACTCTATTATATCTCCCCAGGTATTTTAAATTCATCTATGTTCTTAAGAAATACCATATTATTCCAGTATCTCAAAAATTTCAGGGAGAAATTAGCGGGATTCACACATACATACAAATATAATACAATTAGTTGTTTGTGGGCTAATGAATCAACTCTTATATTGTTCAACAAATCAAGATCACAAATCCACCATCAAAAATATGTGTAAATATATCCACAATTCCAAACAATACAATCAGAACTCCATAATTTAAAACTTAAAGCCTAGGTTAGAATTTTTAATCTAAAGGCCAAAGATTTAGAGTTGCACATATAATCATCCTCAACACTCCCTTTTCCACAGAGCAGCTTTTTCAGATGCAAGGCCATGGCCGTAACTGCAGTCACAGTCAACTACAGTTAATGAAAATCCCAATGTACCAAGGTTATCTACATTGTGATTTTGATTCTGGTTTGCTGATCATAAGCTATGATTTCTCAATTTATATTTTATAGAAGTAATAGTTAAACTTCCTAGTATGATTTCAGAATATCTAGACTGACTAAGTTAGACATGGCAAAGTAAAACTTAGTTCATATACTCAAAAATATTATTATTAAGCATTTTATCTGATCTTTAGCTGAAAAAAGCTCAAGAGGTAAATTGAGAGATTAGATTGGATAAAACAGATCTGTCTGTCTGTCTACAAATACTTCATGCCACTTCAAATAAAAAGAATCTAAGCAGGTTAGAAAAGTAATTTACCATATAGTAACTTACAACAGTTCATTTAGTGACCAAAGTCACAACAGCCCTTATGATCATTTTTCACACTTACGACCATTGCAGCTTTCCACAGTCACATATAGATTAAAATTCAGATGCTTAGCAACTGATTCATATTTATGACGACTGTAGTGTTCTGGGGTCATGTGATCCCCTTTTGCCAACTTCTGAAAAGCAAAGTCAATGGGGAAGCTGGATCCACTTAACAACCATGTCAGTAACTTAACACCTGCAACTGGCATGTTACAGTGGCTCCTTTAGGATTTCCCAAACTGGTACCTCCCTTTTGGGAAATGCAAACAATCCTAGGCAGGTATGGAGAACCTTTCAGTTACACAGTTCAAGAAGTCACCTTCCCACAAAATTTAATTGCATTGTTTACATTGTTCATTTATGTTCACTTGGTATTTGGGTTTTTAGAGATGTGTATATTAAGATTGTAGTAAAGGGAGGTGTGATAGCAAAACCTGCTAAACCCTAACCATATCATACCTCCTCTTCTAGGAACTGGAATTGTACACCAGTCAAAACTAGGCAAAAATCTCTTCTGGCCACCACATTAATTTGGTCTTCAGCAGGAGCTATGATTCCAGGAGAATTTTCAGACTATAGATAACCAGCTACTTGGTAAATACAACTCCTTCAAAGTTATGGTGGAGAATCAATTTCTGCCTTGTTTGAGTTAACTTATAATTGGTCTGGGGTAGAAATGCACAACTGGATATTATCTGCATAAACCCCTACCCATTGAATAACATCTCCTAGGGGCCTTGTGTATTTGTCAAGTAAACTTAAAACGAAAAGACATCTATGGATCTTTTTTATTTCTGCTTCTATTTTTGCAGCCTTAGCAACCCAAGAGAGCCTGTTTAGTTTAATGGTTACAGCACCAGAGCCTATGAGTTCTAAACCCCACTTTAGGCATGAAAGCCAGCTAAGTGGCGCTTTCTCAGCCCAACCCACCTCACAGGATTGTTGTGGGAAAAATAAGAGGAATATTAAGTATGTTTGCTGCCTTGCGTTATTTATAAAATATAATAAAGGCAGGGTATAAATAACTAACTGAAAAGTCTCCTGGAATCATAGCTCCTGCTGAAGACCAAATTAACTGAATAAAGTAAGCCTACCTACAGTGCTAAGATTAATAGTCCTCAAAATCTATATGGCTTTGCTACCTAAATTAAAATCTGTGTTCAATAGTACTTTCCATTTTCTTCTTTCTGGTTGTCTGTGGCTATATAGTTCAGAGATACGCTTCTCCTTTATTTTTTTTCCTACTGTCAGACTGTAACCAGCCAGCTAAGTGAATGGAAAGGAAGAAATAACCCAATCTACCATTTATTGTACCTTAAGCGGTTTAATTCCAGCTAGTAACCAATGGAAGATTGTCATTTGCAACAAAGCGAGAATATGAGTAAGTGTCTAACATGCACCAAATAACCACATTGGTGTATTTTTGATACCTTTTAAACTGTTTAATATGTGGCCTGACCCTATCATGAATCACTCCTAATATCTTTTAATAAATGGTTTTTACACAGTTTTTATTAAAGATCTGTTTTTACTTCATTTTATTTTACAATATTTTGTACTTTTAGTAAACTACACAAGGATTTTGCATGTGCATCTAAAAACAAAACAGAAATACTTTTAATTAATAGATCTACTGAATGAATTACATAAAATAATACAAATACAATCAAATAAAACTG